CATTTCTAATCAAAGTAAATGTAGAAAATAACAAACCAGACGTGATTTATAAATTCACTTCAACCTGCAAACATTTTTGATGAGAAAAACTGCATTCATTCATTTTATTCTGAAAGTTTCAAAATGTTGACAAAATATACGCTCTTTTACAAGAACATCTTTATAATTAACTTAAAGACAAAGTGATATTGTAATAATTTTTTTATATTAGCCTTTTAAACTAATAAGCTTTGGATTAAATTTTAGATTTCATGTACAGAAAATTAATAAAAAGTTCAAAACCATARATTCTAACTCTACAGGCAGATTATTTTTGTCTTTCTCAGACAGTAACAGTGATTAGAGACAGACGTGCTCATCAGACTACTTCATATCAAATTATCTGMTGAAAACTTTAAAAAAATGGGCAGAACTAACTGAAAACTACATCAAGTGAGTGATGGTGACAGTAATCCATGTAAAAACTAATTTAAAATAGATGCTGAGTTTTCAAATTAAACCATAAACTGAAGTAAATACTTTATTTACATATGAGGATTAATTAAGATGGTGACTAAAAACTTAACACAAGAAGAACTAGACATGGGTTTTTACGATGTAAAAACAAGTGTGCATTGCCTGCAGCAWTGGACTTTCAGAATGAACTTTGACCAAGTTAAATGTGTTTTCTGTACCAGCTTGTGCCTGTCACGTCAGCAGGTGTTTGTAATTAAGGTAATTGTGTGACAATATGAAGTTTGCAGAGATAGATTTTTTTTGTTTAAGTTGCATTAGCTGGGTTTTGAACCCTGATCTCCCACATGAAAGTCCATGACATAGACCATTAGACCAATGGAGCTGTGGCAGAAGATGGTGCCAGGGGTTGGTTTGTATGTGTGTGGAAAGAGGCCACATTGCCAAAACAATTATTGACACAAAAATGCATAATATTACAACAATCGAGCAGTATTAAGACAATATTATAGTAAAACATCAAAATACAATCATGTTAGTACTGTAAACACTGAACTACTGAGATTAAATATAAAAAACTATGGTGCAGTACCAAGTTGAGTACAGCATGGGGCAGTATTGGACCAATACAAGGCTCCATTGACTGCCATTATAATTCATTAAACATTAATACTTCATAAACTATGAGTTTTACAGGCACCAAAAGGTATAGGCATCATTTGGCACAGGAGCTTTACAGATATAAATTACAATGGCAGCTCTGGACAAAGTTTGCAGGAGGAGAAGCAGGGCAAAGTTGAGATGAATTGGATGGGAAACGAATCACAATAGTGTGCATTGCATTGGCAATGCACACTGATTAAAAGTATTTAAAACCAACTCTCAAAACTAAACTTAATGTCTGTTTAGAGTTACTTGATAGTTGAGTGATTAAATTACTGGTACTTTCTGTTTGTGTGTGTGGTACAAAGAAAAAGCAGTTTACAGTGATGTAACCATTATTACACCTGGTCTCATTCAAGTTAAAATGTCTGATGTTCAGTGTCTCTTGTATGTGCGTGTTCTTGTTTTCTTCCTGCGTATAAACTTCATGAATTGTGTTTTTCTGGATAAAGGTTTGTCTCCCAGCCTGTCTGTGTGATGTTTTCATGTTGTCGTCATGCATGTGTTTATCTCCTGGTGTYTCCTCCCACAGACCACTGTTAAAAACCATGAGCATGACTCTTCTCTGTAGATGTTTAACTCCACAGTATCTCTGGTTGTTGTTGTTTGCYACCTGCAGCTCTTATCATGAAGATTTGAGTTACATTTTATTTGCTTTCAGAAACCACCTTAAGAACAGCAGCTGTAGTGAATCCTTTATGTGTTTTATGACTTGATGAGTTAAGTGTGTACWGTACATATCTAAACACAGATACTGATAAATGTATCCTGTAAATCAGAAACAGTCTTAAAAAGTAAAATAGGAAGAAGACATGGGGCGCCAAGTGTAAAATATAATGTTAAAAAACAAAACTTTTTCATTAATTAGCTTGCATTCTGAGTGTAAAACC